TTTTTTTTTTTTTTTTTTTTTTTTGGGTGGTTATATGGCGCTTGCGCCGTGTTAGAAGTCGTCAGTCATTGTTTTTTGTAGGGCCCCAAAACACCCTCAGAATGGGGGTACAACTGACGAAAGCTATAACAAACACAGTCGAACTTGGTTTCTTTTTTGATTTTTTTATTTTTTTTTCAATAAAAAATATATATATATATATATTCTGATCATAAAAAATAAAATAAAAAATTTGGGCAGGTGCCCATTGACATGGACCACACACCTATGCGAAAACAACACCCCCCTAACAACCAAAAAAAAAACAACAACGGAGTTCCCGCTCTGCATGAACTCCGTGAACTACGACCAGTCACGTTTTTCGTGACCGGTGACCAGCCCGCGTTCACCAGGGCCGTGAACGGTGAATGGGGGTATGACACTGCTCTACTCTACTCGACTCGACAACACTCTACTCTACTCTACGACACTCTACGACACTCTACGATACTCTATGACAGTTGACTCTACTCTACGACACTCTATGATACTCGACTCTACTCTACTCTACTCTACGACACTTTATTCTACTCTACTCTACGATACTCTATGACACTCTACTCTATGACACTTTACTCTACAACACTCTACGACACTCTGTTCTATTTTTTGACAATCTGCACTACTCCTACGTGACCCCCACGGCCGCGGCGGAGTTCTTTTGCGGCCGCGCCAAGTGCAGGCGGAGTCGCGCGCCTAAAGTCGGGGCGCGCATCGCCTACGCAAGGCCTCCCCCGCCACAATGAACTAAAAAAAAAAAAAAAGTGAAATTTGAGGGGGGGTCGCTATCAGGTGGGGAAAAAAAATAAAAATTTTGAAAGGACAGGGTGGGTGGCTACACACGCCCCTTGCTTCCGAAAACCGAACTTCAAGAGGGAAAAAAGTTGGGGCCACCCCATACCCCAACACTGTGAGCACATGTCTGTGCCTTTGGGTGCATGTCCTTGTTGTGTTCAGTCTCAGTTCTGAAGGGCCCCTACGAATTAGCAAGGGCCCCTCATGAAGAAGAGATGAACATTAGATGTGTAGTTTGTCTGCATAGGCCGAGAATATATAGTCTGGATTCCAATTTAGGTCTGTGCATCACAGTTATGGGTCACTAGTTCTCTGTTCTCTCATTTTTCTTTTGTTTTCTATTTGTTTTTTCGTTTTCTCSTTCCCCCCCCCCCCCCTTTTCTTAGGAATACGTGCAGTGGCCCTAAGGGTCTTACTCACCACATGCACAAAAGACAAAACACATGGCGGCGTATTATTCCACGTTCTAGCGGAAGATTCATTCTAATTCTGCACATCTGGTGAGTAAAGCAGCCAAGCCCTGAGAATCACGTGCAGAGACCAACAGGGTCTCGCTAAGTGAGCAACCCATAACTGCTGAAACACAGACCTGAATACGAATCCTGAGTATATATTCAGCCAGCTCGTGCTCCACTTCACATTCACTTTCTGCCACGATTTTGGTGGAGGGTCCTCGCTAAATTGTTGCGAGGACCAGCGCCGCCAAATGACCTGAAGGAGAAGAAGAACATGAAGGGAAAAAAAAAGTACAAAGGACGAAAAAAACAGCGATGAAGAGAAATAAGAATGAAAAAAAAAAACAGCGAAGAAGAAAGAAAAGAAGACGAAGAAGAAAAAATAAAATTACCTGTGTAAATTTTTTAGGAGGACTCTAACTCCATATCAGTCATGAAAAAAAATGAAAAAAAAAAAATTCTGCTTTTTTTTTTTTTCTTCCTTTTCAACCGTTTTTTGGTTTTTTTATTTATTTATTTGGAAATTAAGTCAAAATAAAAAAAACAATTATGGGGTTGTAGGGTTTTGCAAACCGTACAACCCCATATTTTTAATTTTATTTTCACGTATTTTTTTACCCCACAAAAAATATCCAAAGAACAGGCTGCAAACTAGGCCTCCTGGCCGTGGCCGCGGGTGTCACATAACTCTACTCTACAACAATCTATTCTCCTTTACGACACAGTAAGATACTCTACTCTACTCTACAACACTCTATTATACTTTATAACACTGTAGGACACTCTGCTCTATTCAACCACAATGTACTCTACTCCACTCTACAACATTGTACTCTACTCCACGACACTTTATGACACTCTACTCTACTTTACAACACTGTACTCTACTCCACTCTACGATATTCTACTCTACTCAACAACACTCTACAACACTCTACTTTACTCTACGACACTCTATAACACTCTACTCTACTTTACTCTACTCTACTCTACTCTACTCTACTCTACTCTACGCTACTCTACTCTATGACACTCTACTCTACTCTATGACACTCTACGACACTTTACTATATTGTACGACACTCTACGACACTTTACTATATTGTACGACACTCTACGACACTCTACAACACTCTGCGGCACTCTACTGTACTCTATTGTACTTTACTTTATTCGACTTTACTCTACAACACTCTACTCTACTGTACGACACGCTACTTTACTCTGCTCTACTCTACTCTACTACACTCTTTTCTATTCTACTCTACTCTACGACACTCTACGACACTCTACGACACTCTACGACACTCTACGACACTCTATTATACTCTACTCTAAGACACTCTACTGTACTCTACGACACTCGACTCTATGACACTCTAATCTATGACGCTCTACTTTATGACACTCTACTCTATGATATTGTACTCTACAACTCTCTACTCTATTCTACGACACTCCACGACACTCAACGCTACTCTACTCTACTCTACGACACTCTACGGCACTCTACGACATTCTACGATACTCTTCTTTACTCCACTCTACTCCACTGTGCTCCACCCTACAATACAACACTCAACTCTAATATACTCTACGACACTCAACTGTACCCTACTCTACGACGCTCTAGTCTACGACACTCTACTCTACTACACTCTACTTTACTCTAGGACACTCTACTCTACGACACTATACGCTCCTCTATGACACTCCACTGTAATCTAGTCGACGACACTCTACTCAACTCTACTCAACTCTACTCGACTCTACTCAACTCTACTCGACTCTACTCAACTCTACTCGACTCTACTCAACTCTATAACACTCTACTCTACTATACTCTGCTCTACTTTACTCTACGACAATCTACTCTACGGTACTCTCCTATACGACACTCTACTATACTCTACGATAGTCTACGACACCTTACTTTACTCTATGACACTCTACTCTACTCTATGACATTGTACTCTACTCTACTCTACGCTACTCTACTCTACCTTACTCTACTCTACTCTACTCTACTCTACTCTACTCTACTATACTCTACTATACTCTACTGTACTCTACTGTACTCTACTCTACTCTTCTATGCGACACTCTACTCTGCTGTACTCTACTCTATGACACTCCACGACACTGTACAACACTCTACTCCACAACACTCTACTCTACGACACTCTACTCTACGACACTCTACTCTACAACACTCCACTCTACGACACTCTACAACACTCTACTCTACAACACTTTGCTCTACTTTACGACAATGTACTCTACTCTACTCTACGATAGTCTACTCTACCCTATAACACTCGAGGACACTACTCTACTCTACAACACTCTTCTCTACTCTACGCCACTCTACTTTACGACATTCGACTCTACTCTAGTCTACTTTACTCTACTATGTGACACTCTAATCTACGACATTCTACTCTACTGTACGACAATCTACTCTACTGTACGACAATCTACTCTACGATATTATACTCTACTCTACTCTACTGTACGAGAATCTACTCTACTCTACTCTACTGTACTCTTTGACGCTTTACTCTCCTCTACGACAATCTACTGCAATCAACTCGACGACACTCTACTCCACTCTACCCCACTCTACTCCCCTCTATGACACTATACTCTACTCTACTTTACTCTACTTTACTCTACTTTACTCTACTCTACAGTAACTTACTCTACGGTATTATACTCTACGACACTCTCCTCTCCTCTACGACACTCTACTGTACTCTACTCTACAACACTCGAGGACACTATGACATCCTATGACACTCTACTCTACTCTAGGACACTCTACACTACACTACTCTACTCTACTCTACTCTACTCTACTCTATGACACCCTATTCTACTCTACTCTACTCTACTCTACTCTACTCTACTCTACTCTACTCTACTCTTCTCTACTCTACTTTATTCCTCTATGACACTCTACTGTACTTCACTGTACTCTACTGTACTCTCTACTCTACTCTACTCTACGAAACTCTACTCTATGACACTTTCCTTTATTCTACGACGCTCTACGACACTCCACGACACTCTCCTGTACTATATGATACTTTCTTTAGCATTTCGGTAGTTTTGGTTGTGGGCGTAGCCTGCACCGCCCACACCGCAGACGCTAAGTTATTCGTTAATTAAACTTAGACTTCGTAGCCAGTTTTAGGCTATTCTTTATTACCCCGTGATTCGTTTTTTTTTTTTTTTTTAAGTCTATCTCAGTTAATGCGAGTGGTCCGTGTCAAGTTGCCTACAACATTTCTTATTTTTGCGGGTATGGCCCGCACCGCGGACGCTTAGCTAGTATATATATATATATATATATATATATATATATATATATATATGAGACACCAATGAATGACGGACCCCCGTTGTGGTCGGTGCTTAATTGCACCACGAAACGGAAACGGTGGGGTCACCTGCGTCTGGAAAAGGATCAACCCGCCTCTCGCGAAACCAAGCCCGACTGATTTATTTATTTTATTTTTCTTTTTTTTTGGGTGGTATGACGCGGTGGCAACGTTGTGTCATCATTTTTTTTTTTTTAAGGACCTAAAACACCCTCAGAATGCCCCACACGGCCGACAACTGCTTCGCCTAACAAAGACAAAATCAATTAAAAAAATTTAAAAATATTTTAATAAACAAATTCCGATGGTAAAAAAAAAAAAAAAAAAGGGCAGGTGTCCGTTGACACAAACCTTACACCTGCGCTACCCCCCCCCCCTTCTATCAGCCAAAATAAAAAATAAAAAAAATGGAGTTCCCGCTCTGTGTGAACTCCGTGAACTCCCACCGGTCACGTGACCGGTAACCGACATGCGCTCATCGAGGCCATGAACGGTGAACGGGAGTACGACAGTGGAGTAGAGTAATGTAGAGTGGAGTAGAGCAGAGAAGATTAGAGGAAAGCATAGCGGAATAATGTAGAGTAGAGCAGAGAAGGGCAGAGCACGAGAGCGTAGACTAGAGAAGCGTACAATAGAGAACAGTAAGGAAGAGAAGCATAGGGAAGAGAAGATAAGGGAAACATAGAGTAAAAAAGGTAGGGAAGATAAGTGTAGGGAAGATAAGAGTGCTAGAGTAGAGAAGAGTAGAGTAGAGAGGAACAGGGAAGCATATAGTGTAGGAGCGTAAATTAGAGTAAAGTAGAGTAGAGAGGATTCCAAACAGGGAAGCATAGAATGTAGGAGCGAAAAGTAGAGTAGAGTAGAGTCGAGTGGAGTAGATTGCAGTGGAGTAGAGTCTAGTCAAGTGGTGTACTGTGCAGTGGAGTAGTGTGGAGTAGATTGGCGAGTAGAGTCGATTCGAGTGCAATAGAGTGGAGTGGAGTGGAGTGTAGGAGCGTAAAGTAAAGTAGAGTAGAAATGAACAGGGAAGCCTAGAGTGTAGGGGTGCACATATGCACACATGCACACACACACGCACACACACACACACACAAGCATCCACACACACACACACACACACACACACACACACACACACACAGAGGCAAGCACACACATACACATAGACACACACACACGAGGGGCACATACACACATACACACATACACAAACACACACACACATGGGGGCACACACACACACATACATACACACAACCACACAAACACACACATACACACATACACACAAACACACAAACACACGTGACTGTCGGGGTTCAACCTCCTGATAAGTCGGTGACAGCCCGACAAAACAGCCTGGCACAATCACACTTTTTTGAGTGTATAGCGAATACAACTGCACACACACACACACACATACACACACACACACACACACACACACACACACACACA